AATAAGATACAACCTAATTCACACTTCTCGCACCAATGTACAAACTGAAACACAATTAGTCTTTGAAATTTGCAGTTCTCAGAATTTTGTGATGCAGGACCCGAACCAAACATAATGTAGAAATATTCACATGTTAGATGAAAGCATGCATACTTTAGTGAAAGTAAAATACAATGATGTATTTATATATTATGGATAATTGCTTTCAAAAATGTGTGTACTGTATAGTCAAATTGCATATAAAAATGGTGTATACTGAGAAAAATTCACATTGAACTACTGAAAAATTATATGAGGGTTTTGGTTTTTTGTTTTCAAAGTGAATTGCTGCAGAAATATGGAGAGCTGAGTTTAAGACAGGAAAAATGAGAAATGGATGGAAACCAAAAGTGACTCTAGACAAGACACTAGATTTTTTTTATAAGTTCTACCAATCTCGCCGCGGGATCACATTCACCTGGTGCTATACCAGCTGCACTGGCTCCTGGTGGAGTACAGGATCAGGTTTAAGGTGCTGGTTTTAACCTTTAAAGCCCTATACGGCCTAGGACCCTTGTATCTATGGGACCACCTCTCCTGGTATGTCCCACGGAGGACCTTATAGTCTTCAAACAAAAACATCTTGGAGGTTCCGGGCCACAGGGAGGTTAGGCTAGCCTCAACCAGAGCTAGGGCTTTTTTGGCCGTGGACCCAATTTGGTGGAATGCTCTGCCACAAGAGACTAGGGTCCTGCAGGACTTGACATCTTTCCGCAGGGCCTGCAAGACAGAGCTGTTCCACCAGGCCTTTGGCCAAGGCACAGTCTGACCCCCTCCTTTGGTAATCCTCACAGAACTCTAGCCCAATGGTTGCCATTAATATTTTTTTAAATTGATTTTAGAATGAATTGATTTTAGAATGCTGTGTTATTTTTATTGTTGTTAGCTGCTCTGAGCCCAGCTTTGGCTGGGGAGGGTGGGATATAAATAAAATAATAATAATAATAATAATAATAATAATAATAATAATAATTATTTCAGCCATTCTTATGTGTTATGGGATTCTTCTTCTTCCCTGCACCCCGGCAGGGGCAAACTGCAGCTCCATCTCTGTGGCACACTGTCCACTGTATCTTGGTGTAATTGCTATTTACTAATTAGAAAGCTGGATAAAGCAAAGGAGTTTCACCTAACAAAGCCCACAAGTAGAAGCATTACACAAGGGCTTCTGCTTGTGCAACAGGGCTTTCTCTCTTCTCTCCTCCCCCACCCCCAAGCCCCAAATTGGCTTGGAGGATCAGAATATCCCCCAAAACAGTTCAGGGGAGGAGGGGAGGATGAATTGTTCTGTCTGGCAAGCTGATAAACTTGTGCAGCCACAATGTTGAATTCCACCCTGGGTATATATTCTATTTTATTTATTACATTTCTGTCCTGCTCTTTGTTCCCTTAGCACCCCTGGGCAGCAAGCAACAAAAATAGCAATAAGACGAACATATATATATATATTTTTAAAAATCTGGAAACATTTAAAAACAAATATCCTCATAGCTAACAGAATCCTTTCTAGGGCAAACTGATGCAACCAAGGCAAGGGTTCTTAGCTGTGTAAAAGAGGGGACTTCAGCAAGAGCAGGCCAGGGCATGTTTTCTAACCAGTGGGCAACCATACAGGGGCAACTTAATCCAAACAAGACTGAAACATACACACAGATGCCGTTTGGTCAGCCAGTTTTGTATGCTGGTGAAGGATAGTGACTGTTGTCAAGGATGGAGTTCCAATGCTGCTTGAAGAAAAGGCAGAGTTTTTATGCAACAGAACAAATAAAAAACAAACAGTTGTGTGGCATTTCTTAAATCCATTGTTCTTCACTACAGTTTAGCCTGGATGGTGTGCACACATGTGTACACACACACACACACACACACACACACACACACAATATGTATGTGACAACTGATGCTCATATGTTTTCATAACCACAAGGCATAGAATGGCTGTCCAAGCTAGATGTTTGGAGACACCAGGTGAGGCAAGATGTATGCCACAGTTTTCTTCTTCCAGTGCCTTTAATGGCTTTATAAGGTCTGTTTATTCATTTCAAATAATCAACCTCCATCAAAATTGATTTCAGAGTGGTTTAAAAGCTTTAAAAAAAATCAAATTTATAGAACTTCAAATAAGTGATAACCCTGCAGAGAAAAGGGCAGTCAGCAATATTTAAAAGTACATAAAAGTACTTTTAAAGCCTGAGCAAATAAAACGATCACTTAAAACAGGGTGGGGAGCTGCAGTTTCCACAGGCCAGAGACTTCTGAACTGTCTGAACTGCCAAGTCTTCTGAACTGGACTCGCCAGCTTTGTACCAAGGCAGTGAGGGCCATCAATTCGGATGGCTTTAAAAGAGGATTAGACAAATTCATAGAGAAAGCTATCAACAACTATGGGCTGCAATGGCTATGCTCTGCTTCTGCAGTGGGAGGCAATAATGCTTCTGAAAACCAGCTGCCAGGAGGGGAGAGTGCTCTTGTGATTGAATCCTGCTTGTGAGTTTCTCACAGGCATCTGGGTGGCCACTGTGAGAACAGGATACTGGACTGGGTGGGCCCTTGGCCTGATCCAGTAGAACTCTTTTTATGTTCTTATGAATGGGGTATAAATAAATTATTATAATTATTATTATTATTATTATTAGCATCAGCATTGGGTGCATGACACTGCTGTGTAAAAAGAAAAGAAAGAGAAACCAATGGCACAAACCCCCGACAACTACATGGAGGCCAGTACCTGTAGTCAAATGCCACATAAATGACCCTAAATGGCCTCGGCCCAGTATACCTGAAGGACCATCTTCACCCCCATTGTTCAGCCCAGACACTGAGGTCCAGCTCCAAGAACCTTCTGGTGGTTCCCTCACTGCGAGAAATGAGGTTACAGGGAACCAGGCAGAGGGTCTTCTCAGTAGTGGTGCTCCCCCCATGGAACACTCTCCCATCAGATGTCAAGAAGTTAAGTACAGTGGCACCTCAGGTTACATACACTTCAGATTACATACGCTTCAGGTTACAGACTCCGGTAACCCAGAAATAGTACCTCGGGTTAAGAACTTTGCTTCAGGATGAGAATAGAAATCGTGCTTCGGCGGCAGTGGCAGCAGGAGGCCCCATTAGCTAAAGTGGTGCTTCAGGTTAAGAACAGTTACAGGTTAAGAATGGACCTCCGGAATGAATTAAGTACTTAACCCGAGGTACCACTATAACTACACAATCTTTATAGAAGACATCTGAAGACAGCCCTGTATCGGGAAATTGATGCTTTATTATGGGACATAAGAAAACCCAAAGAAAATGTGAACATTGGGTCCCATGGCCTGAAAGAAAGCATATTTTTTTGTCATAGAATGCCCTGAGAATTTTTTAATGGGTTATGGTTAGGGTATTTTTTAATGGGGCATAAAAATACCTACAACTGTGGAATATGCTCCTGATTATAAAAGGCTTGCAAGAACAGGATAGGAAGTGTGTCCTTTGACTAAGCCCTGATAAAGTTGTCAGTATGTTCCTCAATCACCTGTGCCTTTAAGCATTGACCTTCACCTGATTCCTGTGCTACTAAAGTTTTACTTGTGGCATTTCTGCTGCCACTACAGGTCAAGGCGCAGGAGTCTGGCCAGAAGGAGTTGGCAACCCTACAAAAATATCCCATGGTGTTTGCTATTGTCGAAGGGAACACAGCCCTGAGGAAAGATGCAGTTGCCCAAGGAACCAAGAGGAACTCCAATATCAGCTTTCATAGTAGTATTCATAGCCTTTCCCTCAAGATATTGTTGCACATGAGGGTGACTTGCAAAAAATAGTCCCATGTTGCAAAAATAGAACATGAAAAATAGCCCTAATTTACGGCTTCCACTTTCAGACCTTGGGAAGTGGTGAGGCTCATAGATCATAGCGGGAGCAGGGGGGGGGCAGGAATCAAGTGCAAAAGGGCTCAGTAGCCAGGAGCAATGTTGCTAAAGAATAGGAAGAAGAGAGAGAGAGAGAGAGAGAGAGAGAGAGAGAGAGAGAGAGAGATACTTGCCTCCACCGTGAATCCTGCAGAGAATGTCAGAATAGCTCAAGCAACAGCTAATCGATACACACATTACTTTGCCTTAGTACTTGTAAATGATTTGCATCTTATGCCATGCCCTGAATCTTCAAGCTAAAATTAAAAGAACTACTGAATGATTCACAGACCATGGGGATTTTAGGCTGGGAGAATGACTCAGCAGATAAAACAAAGAATAGTTGTTGCATCAGCAGCAGGGCTCCCCCCCCCCCCGCCATGCCCTCGAGGGACAGGGAAGTAAAATTATCTAACATAAGCAGAAAGAAAGTGCCATCACCACCGGCTCACCAAGCTCCCGAAGGCATTTTTCCTTTTTTTCTATTAATGAGGCCCAGTACAGTGAGGTGGGAAGACTGTGTCTGGACTGTTCTTCTGATTGAAGATGAGGCTCCCATGACTCTTTGCATTACAGCTATTTCACACACAATGTATTAGGGAATAGAATTTGAGCTGAACCTGCTCTCTGATGCTTGTTCTCTGTCTGCAGGGTATACATTTCTTCCTAGTGAGGGGCATTCAGTCTTGTGGGACCATACCTTCAGTCTGGCAAAGCCCAGGTGCACGTTTACAATTTCCTTAATCATTAGGCTTAAACTTGGCTAAAGAAAGACAGTGTGTACAACAGGAACTGGCTGCGCAATGAATGGTACACAAACTGGTTTAAATGGCAAACATCTTGACATATTTCTGGAAGTGGAAATCCAGACACAAAAGTTGTTGAGCTTTTTTTTGGGGGGGAGGGGCAAAGTTGTTGAGCAAAAAAACCCCCACTTCCACAATGGGTTGCCATATATCTGGATTTTCCTGGACATTTAAACCCGAAAATTCTGGGAAATTCCAGATGTATGGCAGCCCTAAAAGCCTTGTTGATTGTAAGAAGCCAATAAAGGCCTTGTGAATCAAGCCTGAGCCAGGATGTGAGGGCGATCTGGCTGCGACATCTGTCACCCCATTGATCGCCAGGGTTGATTCGGCTGATCTGGCTGGCTAGGCGGGTGTCCCCTTCCTCCCTCACCGCTCCATGTGCGTCCCTCCCGAAGCTGCGCGCTCGGTGGAAGAGGACGACCATCCCAGATAGAAGGAGTGTACCGTTCTTCGGTCAAGGGTATACGATAGCTGCGCTCCCCTGCTAGAACCTCCAAACAAGCTCAAGGTGAATCAAGCCTGAGCCCTGGGATGCTTCAGATAATGCATGAATACACACCATTGGCTTATTCATATGTTCCACTGAATTCAGGTACAAGCTGTCACTACACACATGCAAGTGTTTGTGTGGAAGTGTGTACATTTGCGGATTAGTACAGTTCATCTGTTGTGTACACAGGCATACAAGCAAAAAGGGAAATAGAGGGAGAGGGCAGACACCATTATGGTAAGCCCTTGCCGCATATCATTTTGGGGATATACAGTGGTACCTCAGGTTACATACGCTTCAGGTTACAGACTCCGCTAACCCAGATTTAGTGCTTCAGGTTAAGAACTTTGCTTCAGGATGAGAACAGAAATCGTGCTCTGGCGGTGTGGCGGCAGTGGGAGGCCCTATTAGCTAAAGTGGTGCTTCAGGTTAAGAACAGTTTCAGGTTAAGTATGGACCTCCGGAATGAATTAAGTACTTAACCTGAGGTACCACTGTATATGATTCCCAAATGAGGTTCTTTGGTAAGCGTATATAGGATTTTAGCCTATTCAGCTTGGAGCTCTGTGGAAAAAGAGTGGAGTATAAGATAACTAAATCAAACTTTTCTTAACTGCAGATGCAACGGAGACATTTCACACATTTCCAGCTGCCAGTCACCCTGTGTTAGACTTGGATGTGTGAACTACCTCTGTATCTCCTGGGCTTTACTTCAGTAACTGCCAGTAGTATGACCAAAATGCAGATTCTGCAGTTACTCCTTTCAGAAGGTATGATTCTTAGTTTTGGATGTTACAGGGAAGCATAGCATTAAAGGCTAGGCATGCATGTGGCTGTTTCAAAATGTGATTTCTATTCTCTACATTGACCATTCTTTGTTTGCTCCTCAGCAACGTGCAGAGCTAACATGAGGATTGGAATAGGCAACTTTGTAAAAAAAAGAAAGAAAAAGAAACCTTAACTGTTGGCAGGACTGTGTGTGGCCCATGCTCTTGTCATCACCTGCGATAGTTGTGGTACTAAACTGAAATCTAGCATGCTTGTATTTAGCAGCATAAGGTGTGCAATAACCCTTCCTTCTTCCCTCCTAGAGGTAGCTGTCAGAGCATACCCAGTAGGTAGCATTTCAGGGGGGGCTGACTAGTCTCAGAAAATGTCAGCAGTCCACCCTGGTCCAGGAAGAGAGGAACTGAACCCAAGCCACGTCTGCATATGGTTTATGTATGTTGTTGGGCTGAGGACATTCCATCCAAGTGGAAGCAATGCAAATAGGGAGAGTTTCAGACCAACATGTCCTTGTCCACTGAGTTTAATATTATCTACACCACTGCAAATGTCCTTCCTGGGTTTCAGAGCAGAAAGCATTCTTAGGGCTGCCATATGTCAAGATTTCCCTGAACATTACCGGGATTTCTTTTTTTTCTCATAATTTTTTTTTATTAATTTACAACAAAACAAAACATACAAAAAAAATTTCACATCCAATTTTCACAAATTGCTTCTTTTCTGGACTTTCTTCAGCTTCTCCGTAAATCATCCATAGTCATTATTTTAAATGTGCATTTTGTAATTTATATTGTCATTATTTATACCCTTAATTTCCTTTCTCTTTAAACAATACTTCTTAGTATTTCACAGTGCTTTTTTTAAACCCCTCTAGCATTATCTGTCCCTCACTTATACTTTCCAGATATTCCACAAATTTCCCCCAGTCCTCGATGAACTTTTGGTCTCTTAGGTATCTAATTTTCCCAGTCAATTTATCCAACTCAGCATAGTCTAACAGCTTCATTCTCCATTCTTCTACTGTCGGTATTTCCTGTTGTTTCCATTTCTGAGCCAGTAACACTCTTGCTGCAGTCACTGCATATTGGAAAAATTTACAGTCCTTTCCCTTTATCTCATTTCCTAGTATTCCTAACAGAAAGGCTTCGGGTTTCTTTGTAAATGTATATTTTAGAATCTTCTTCAATTCATTATATATCCTTTCCCAGAAGCCTTTCACTTTCTTACATTCCCACCACATATGATAAAAAGAGCCTTCTTTATCTTTACATTTCCAACACTTATTACATGTCTTATACATTTTTGCTAATTTCACCGGTGTTATATACCATCTATAAAACATTTTCATAACATTCTCTTTTAATGTCATACATGCTGTGAATTTTAGATTTTCTTTCCATAGTTTTTCCCAATCCTCAAATTGTAAATTATATCCAACATCTCTGGCCCAGTGTATCATTACCGACTTAACTTCCTCATCTTTTAAATTCCATTCTAACAACAGCTTGTACATTTTGGATAGAATTTTGTAATCATTATTTATTATTTCAGTCTGAAATTTTGAATCTTTATCAGCATAACCACCATCTTTGATATCTTTCCTAAACATTTCATTTATTTGAAAATAATGCAACCAATCATATACATGTTCTTTAACTTGTTCGTATGGTTTCATTTTCCATTTACCCCTTTCTTTAAATAGCAGTTGACCATATGTGATCCAATTGCCTCTCATATTAATTTTCTTTACACTCATGACTTCTAACGGAGATAACCAGTGTGGTACTTTAGGTTCTAATAGGTTTTTGTACCTATCCCATACTTCAATCAAAGGACCTCTGAAGATGTGGCTCTCAAAACCTTTATGGATTTTCTTTTTCTCATACCATAAATACGCGTGCCACCCAAATCTGTTATCAAACCCCTCTAAATCTAACAGTTTCTTGTTTTCTAGTTTTATCCAGTCTTTCAACCAGCAAAGGCAGGATGCCTCATAATATAATTTGAAGTCCGGCAGGGCAAAGCCTCCTCTTTCTTTTGCATCTGTTAATAACTTAAACTGAATTCTCGGCTTTTTGCCCTGCCAAATATATCTTGAAATTGCTCTTTGCCATTCTTTGAAAATCTTGTTTCCCTTAATTATAGGGATAGTCTGGAATAAAAATAACATCTTTGGGAGCACGTTCATCTTAATTGTAGATATCCTACCCCAAAATGACAACTTCATTCTTCCCCATACCTCTAGGTCCTTTCTTATTCCATTCCACACTGGTTCGTAATTGTTCTTGTATAAATCTACATTTTTTGGGGTTACCCATATTCCTAAATATTTCACCTTTCTGACCACCTCTATCTCTGTTTGTTGTTGCATTACTTCAATTACACTTTGATCCATATTCTTCGCAATCATTTTCGTTTTCTTCTTATTTAATCTAAAACCTGCCACTCTTCCAAATTGTTCAATTTCTTCCAAACATTACCGGGATTTCAAAGGCATAATTGATGTCCAGGTGGAATTTCCGCTTTGTCCTGGATCATAGGCAAGCTCAGCAACTCTCAGGGGAGGGGAGGGGCTGGTTTTTACTTTTTGAAATATGGCAACCCTAGGCATTCTCATTCACAGAGGTGTACCTAGGGGTTGGTGAAACAAGCCCCCACAGAGTGTATGACATATGTTTGTGGTGATGCACTGCTGCAAGATCAAATGTGGGAGAAGCTTCTCATCCTCGCATGTGTGAATTTTCTTGCCCTTCTTTCTTGCCTTACCCTTACTCCAGACACTTCAAGTACTTGGGTTGCATAAAATGTAGTAATTTGTAATGTAGCTATTGCAGCAATGTTATTTTTTGGGGGTGGGCAGGCAGGGCAATAGAGCTCCCTGCCAAGGGTGTAAGGGATCTCAGGTACACCTCTGGTGGCAAGGACTAAACTTGGGGCCATCTGCATGCAAACCATATGATTTACCAATGAGCTATGGCTACCTCAAGGGACGTGGGTGGCGCTGTGGGTTAAACCACAGAGCCTAGGAGTTGCCGATCAGAAGGTCGGCGGTTTGAATCCCTGCGACGGGGTGAGCTCCCGTGCTCGGTCCCTGCTCTTGCCAACCTAGCAGTTCGAATGCACGTCCAAGTGCAAGTAGATAAATAGGTACCGCTCTGGCGGGAAGGTAAACGGCGTTTCCGTGCGCTGCTCTGGTTTGCCAGAAGTGGCTTAGTCATGCTGGCCACTGGAAATCTGCAAATATTCCTTCAGCTGCAGAAAAGAGTAAAAAAGGATTATGAGTAAAGGGGAATGCTATAGCTCAAAGTCTGTGCAAGCAGCTTTAATGGTTGTGTCCATTGTCACCAGTGTCAGATTCACGTATAAGCTAAACAAGCTATAGCTTGGGGCCCCACTCTCTTGGGGACCCCAAAATATTTTAAAGGAAAAAACCACTGGATGTACATCTCCAAAATATAAGATAAAAAACAAATAAAATAAAACCTACGGACAGCAACAGTGTTTTGTGTTGTGTAGGCTCCTATGATGTAAGTACCTGCTAGCCTGCTTCCTAAAATATAACCGGTTTGCTCATTTCTATATATAGGGTGCCTACATTCTGCATGGGCTGGTTGCGTGGCAACATGTGCAAATGGCTTTGGATACATATTATGTCAGGGAACTGACATCAGAGCGAGAGGCGAAGGGGAGGCTCCTGGATGATGCTGGAGAAGGACCCAGCAGCAGGGGGAGAGGCGACTCAGTGGAGGGGGAAGCATTTAAGCGCAACACCAGGAACAAAAGTGAGCAGATGGGAAAATCGGAGAGAGGGCTCACGGACTCTTCACTGGAACTCAGTGAGGAGGGGACAGGTCCCCCGCTACCCACGCCCACCCTGCGCAGAAGGCTCCCGCGCAGTGAGAGGCGGAGGCGATTGGGTGTCAAACAGCTCTTATGTTGGAAGAGATTCAAGAAACGCCCACTGACGGATTCTGCTAGTGACTGAGACAGTCCTGATCAGAAGGGGCTGTGCAGTCAGAAAGGTTTAACAAGGCAAATCAGCCTAGAGAGGCACCAGTTTACGCACGAGTAACTCATACTCATTATAGCAATCCGTCAGTCCCTGAAAGTTGCTCGTGCGCAGCAGCAGGCAGGCAGCATCATGAGCAAGCCCGGAGAAGCAGGCGCCCAAGGGGGGCAGCTGGAGGGCAAACGCTGGAGGAGAGGAACCGAGATTTGGAGCAGCATGTGGCCATTCTGGCGGCACGGCTGGACGAAGGCGGTCTCAAGATGCACAGGTCAGACCCACCCCCATAGCAAGGAAGGTACCGGGACTGGTGCAC